ATGCCCCGTGCGGCGCTGCGCCGGGCCCCACATGTCGCGTCCCTCCCCCTATTATTAATTTTCTGATAACAATATATGATCACAAATGAGTATGGTAATCGGGTTTTTTATCTCATACAAAAAAAGTTCTTGGTTGCATAATGAGCATGGATCTAGCTCCAGAACATCCACACTTTTCGCAATCTTTTCTGAGAATGAATTTTTTAGAATATTTAATGCAAGAGCTTCGAGAAATAAGATATTAGCAGACATTCTGACACTTTGTAACTGAAAAGTGGGTCTACTCATTAATAGAATTTTGCTTATCAAATTATGTACAAGGCACACGTAGATCTCGGAATTGTCTATCTCGGAATTGTATATCTCAGACCTGGCAATTCAAAATGAAATTTTTGATTAAGAAAAAACATGTGAATTACCCTACTGGTATGGTCTAGGGCTCCTAACGATACTACTTTGATACCAGTTCGATACTTAAATTTATTATAAAAACATATGAGTAGGTTATAATCCATATATTAAATTTACTATAGATCGGTACCATTTCGATACCAATTCGATACCAGTTCGGTACTTTTTTGGAGCCCTAGTATAGTCAGCAAAAAAAATAACAAGTATATGTGATAGCAAAAACATGAATCCCTGACTCAAAACATATATATATGAGCAAAATCATGCCTTCATTTTATTCATATCAGAAGAAAAAGAAAAAATGGTAGGTATATGCTTATAGCAAAACTCATCCACATATTTTATACTTATGTCTAATAATGTATTGTTTAGAATTATGATCCTCTCATGGATTTGGGAAACAAGGGTAAACAGTTTAATATCGAGTTTTTTGTTATTCCCATCCATGGATTTTTTAGATTTCTAACCAACTATTTTAGGTATAGTCTTGTCATGTTCGAAAAAGAATCTATCAATGATGTAAAAGTGAAAATTCAGTAGTATTTTCCAGAAGAGTTTAAAAATATTTCTTTTAATATTCGAGTATCTGATCCCAAGGTCAAAACATACAAAGACATGAAATTGCAAGATAAAGTTAATGATTATTTTGATAAAAATCTTGTATCGGGTCATATTCATATTATAGTAGAATCCATCTTTTAGGTTTTTATATCTACAATATCATCAGCATATATTAAAACTTTGTAATATATGGTGTGGTTATGACCATTTAGGCCGATTGTCTTGTTAATAATAAAAAATACATGTGAGATAGGAAAACTATCTATCCATTATTCTTCAGTAAATTTTTTGATCCTAGCCTTCTTACTGGTTGAGGAGTTCACATGATTGCGAGACAAATCTGTTCTGGAAAAATACCAATACAAAATCGATTGCGTATATAGATATTCGATCAGGCACGTAAGTGCCATTACTTCGTAATACATATCACAGAAGAAAATTGAAGGTCGTGGAATATTTCATGCATGATGTAATCATGTGACCTATTGTTGTTACTATAAATTCCAAATTTGATTGTCAGCTTGTGACATATGTGAAAAGTTTTTTGCTATGCATATTTACATAGTAAATACTTATGGGCTTGCATCACTCCAGTTCCACATTTCCTGAATCTACTATTTCCATACCTAAATGAGGCCAGAAATGAGTGGAGAAAGCATTTTAAAAGGACTGTATATTTACATTGTAGTTATTCGTCACTTCTTTTTACCTGCGTTATCGATATATTAACAATTGACATGTCTACCTCAACATTCTCATCAGCAGAAAAATTTGTTCCATTATATAACTTTTTAAAAACCAGTTTCCTAGATAAAATCATCACTTCTAATATAATTACACAACAATGGAATTGTTTCAAAATTCAAATGGAGCAAGAAGATTTCAACTGTTTTATGAAAATCTTAAAAGAAACGGAAAGTGAAATCATTGATAAAAAATATAAACAGCATCTTAAATCGTTACAAGATATTAGCCAGGTCATTTATACCACTTTGATGTTTGTATAATGAAGAATAAAATAATGAATATGACGTTTAGATATTAATAAGTATAATGTGATTGAAAAAGTGACATATTGTCAGCGAGAATCTTTTTCATTATATTTATTATGATTTTAAAACAACAATGCCAGCTATTTCTGATTAGGATAGGTATTTGCGCAAAAAAAATGATGATGTTTCTTTGAATTTTATTAACCTATTCGTATTTTTATAGATGTGATTTATTAGAAACAAATTGTTATTATTAAAAGATATGGGATTCTTACGAGGAAAATTCGAAGAAAAAATAAACTGGAAAGTTTTAGCCTTAAATAGTATAGTGATTTTGAAAAATAAAATCAAGGTAATCAATTATTTACTACTTGAAACTTTCCATAAAACTAACTCTCAATTTGATTCATTAGAAGAAAGATACATGACCATATGAACATATTTTTACAAAAATAAGCAATATAGATATTGATGAATTATCAAATGAAGACTCATTATGTATTGGAGTAATTGATCTTAGTTCAGATAAATATAATATTCTGAAGAGTGATTATGAATCTCTTGTTATACATATATTTTTTCTTTATGAAGTAAACGTTATTGGTTCTGAGATCTGAGTAACAGATAAGACTTTTGTATAGGTTTTGTATTAGCGGAGTTGGCACAGCTAAAGATAATTGCTTATCATTTATTAATCTTAATAGGGTGAGAAGGATAATATAAGAAATTTGAGCAAAAATGTTGTGGTAAAGAATATATATAATGATTTTATATCAAAGAGGAATGACATTCAGAAATTGCAGAAATTTGTATTGCCTTCGAGGAATGTAGTGGTGCATGATTAATGGGTTGAGGATGATCACATTAAGAAACACATAGCACACAGAATTACCAATATTCTTTTGCAAGAAATTAAGTTGAATGCACTTCGAAGAGTTTCCAGAGGTTCAGAAAACACACTAGTGGAAATTATTGCTCATTTGATAGATATGGCTATGCATCACTTACCTGTGGATTATAAGGTTAAAGTTATCAGGGCCGAACATCAAAGTACAACTAGCAAAAATTGCAAAGCTCAGCAAAAAGTGGATTAAGAAAGAATAAACCTGATCTTATTTTCCATGCTCACCTTCGTCAAAAATGGGAAGAAATTGTGTTCTTCAAAAGTGGAAAGTGGGATACCAATAAAGATAAGATTTGCTATGACCATAATAAATTAGTGCAACTCTGTTTGGACGGATCTAAAGAGCTTGTGAAAAAATGTTCAAAAGAAACCTTTTACCAAAGTTATATAGGGTTTGGTGTTAATATTGCAGGTAAGTATATTGAAATCCATGAATTGATAAAGAAAAAAGGGGTGAAGTACCATCTCCCAGTCGTTAAAGCGAAAATACATATCTTTGGGTAAAGAATTGGTTGAGGAAGTAGAAGAGTTTATTTATGCCCTATTGACTTTGCGAGTGAGTATTCTTTCAACTATATTATATGAATTTCTGTATATTCATCATATTATGTTACTTGTACAAATGATCTATGATCTCAGAATGGAGTTATTGTAAATTTACAGAATGGTTTAAAAAAAAGATCGAGAAAAACGAGTGATATAAGCCCCCCTCCATGTGAAGTTGATAAATTAAACAAGAAAAGAAGCTCAAATTTCTAGAATAACCCATATTTCTGTCTTGTACTTTATTTCTCATATATCAATAAAGCTGGCCCTGGTGGTTGAATTATCGTATATTTATATACTTTGTTATGATTTTTTCTTCTGGTAATTACGCACACGATGTTCCTCGAACTTCTATGTCGATCCCGGTCAACGGTTTTTTAATTATTCTGATTGGATGGACCGCACCAGGAAAATGCAGGAGGCTGGCGAAATAGATTGATCGGGCAATCGTCGTATACATATATCCTTACCGATTACATTCCCACGTTTTTTAGCGAAAGTATATGCTATTCTTCTGGAGTAGGACATCGGCTCTAGGAATTTTATTTCTAACGGCTCGTCGAATAGTGTTGCTTTTGTTCTTTCCCCCGTATATTAGTTAATACACCGTTTTTTGTCAAATATTAATAATGTCGCAAGAGAAACCAGTTAAGAAGTTATCGCGTCACGCCCGTTATAATAAAAAACGTAGGCTTGAAAAAGAAAAAAATTCCACCTTACTAGCGGATAACATTAACCTCACTCTAACGACGACAAACATTATCTTCAACCCGAACAAAGTATATAATTTCGATTTTTTTTTATTTAAGCGAACGTAATTAGGTGGTTATTTTACGTGATAGAGCAACTACCTAAGTTTCTTGTTACGAGTATACTTAGTTGATAATCCATCTTGGTATTTGTGTTGTAGAAATCGCATAATCACTATAATAGTGGCTTAATATTTGAACGAGGGTGGTTGTTCAGTCCGTAAAAAAAACTTATTGTCCTTTTCGCATAAAATCCAATTCGAATCATACTATGAAACATTTCTTCGCATAATACAATTTTATATATTAGCACAGGACACAATTTGCGACTCGAGGGTTACATACAAGTGATGAAATCTATTACATTGAAAAAGAATGGAAAATCATTCCTCTTTGTTCGTCGGATTGTGTGGCATCGAAAGGAGCTAAAGTCCGAAAAAAGATTTCTACGAGAGGATTATTAATTGAACCCTTAATCCGAGAGGCATCGCTTACCAGGGATAATCCCCAAAGTTATAACGAAATATCTTATATCCCGCCTAAATTTCTTAAACTGCTCGATAGAGAGATAAATCAAGATAGATCGCGATGACGAAAAACCTCGAGTCAATTTTTTTGCTCACTATCACGTGATTTTGCTGACAAAATCATAATCCGTGCATGATCTGATCTTCACAAAATTGTTACTCAAATATATGATCCTGCAAAAAATCATTTGTTTTTGTGTAAATTCTCTTCTTTTATTTCTTGTAATTTTCCTTGCGCCTTTTATTATTTTTATATCTTGTGTTATTCTCGCTCCCCTTTGGTTGTGGTATCAAGTATTCCTGCGTATAACATCTGAGTACAAAAGTCGTTTTTCCCGAATGCCTTCCTATCTCCCACAATTAATCATTCCCAATTGTGATCATAAACTCTTCGAAGAAATCGCATTAGCAAACCCTAACTCTTTCTATCGAATGAATCTTATCCAAGGTCAGCTTGAAATAATGCCTCCACAACCAGTTCACAATGATACCGGTATGCAACTCGTTAAATCACTGCCTGATAGTTTTATCGAGATGAAAATATGTACTAAAACCATTGATAAATGTTATTTAGATCAAAGAGAAGTAAACATTATTATAGAAATTGGCAACTGGTGCCGAGCCAACGACAACTTGGTTGGACACTATGGTGGATCACAAGTGTGTTACGCAAACGTCATTGACATTTCTTTTTTCATGTTACTAACATCACGTCATTTTACTCATTATAGGGAGCCTATACATTGAATACTGGTGATATTCTGGGTCCTGAAGCTTCTGTTGTCCTTAGTGCCAGGTTTCTGAGCGTTATCTATCGTAAAGATAATTTGCATATTTGCGCCATTTTTTAACTTCTATCTTATTATTGCAGATGGAATGCTCTATCAACTAATGATAGACGACAAGCATATCCGCCAGTTGCACCGAATTTTATTGTGGAATTACGTTCAATGAGTAATTCACCTCAGTATGTTCATAGGAAAATGTTACTATGGATTGGTGCGGGAGTTGA